CATCAAGAGGCATAGCAGGCTTCATAGCAGCTGCTGTTAATCCTTTACACAAAGGCCATTTGCTCATTCAATACTTCAGGGCCTGAAGAGTCCAACCTCCCGTTCTAAGCAAGAACAGCTATGGGGGCAGGCCAGGCTGCTCAGGGTTTTGTCTAGTCAGGACAACAGGTAGGTGAGAAAGAAAACTGAGAGAGCTTTGGCTCCTGTCCCAAGAAGGTACCTGAGGTTGCATGTTCAGGAAGGTATCTTTCTGAGCGAACAGATTAATTTTCCCTCAGCCTCAGAAAGGAACAAAAGAGGCATTGCAAATACTTCCATCATGGTTCATTCTCCAATAGAGCTTTGCAGCAGCATCGAAATTCCCCGTTCCTTCTGTGGGGCTATGAGTATAGGATCAGTTGATTTCAAAGCTTAATTCAGTGAAGAAACAATGCTGAGAGAATTAAGAAGTATTGTCAAGTATTGTTATGTCAGCATTACAGCACAAAACCAATTTTGTTGACCCAAGGCAGAAAAGCCATACCGCACCACAACTGAAAGGGATGAGGAAGGGATGAACCTTAAGGGCAAGTCAGTTTAAATATAAGAACTCAAATGCAGTGATCAACAAACCTGGATTATCTTTCCAGATTCAGCTAAAGTCAAGTGGAGATCCATGCAAGTGATGGATCTCCACTCCAGAGCCCTTAATGTAATAAAGCAAATTGGTCTGTAGAAGCATGGCATATACAGAGCCTAATCTGTTCATCTCATCTGTTATACCAACACTGTTCTTGACTCAAACAGAAGAAACTCTTGTTTCTTACTGAGGTCTAAAAGGGGGATGCTGCTATCAGGAAAAGGAGCCTGGGAGACTAAGCTATGCACGAAAACTCAAGTTGGATGGCTAGAGCCTGGGAACAATTGACAAGACTGTAGAAGTTGCATTTGCTGGGGCCTGTCCACAGAGGACTCCGGAGAACTCAAGGCTGGCTTTAGAGACTGCCTTAACATGGACTTTTCAGAAGAATCAAAAGAAAGGAATAAATAGCCTGTTTCCATAGGGAACCCGTAAGGCTCTAGAGGAATCTGTGATGGACCTGTGCTGTTCGGCACATTCAGAAACCATCTGGGTAAGTGCGTGAAAAACAAGGTGGCAAAATTCTATAACAAATTGTTCAGAGTTGTAAAGATCAACTCACATCTGCAAGTGACTAAGCAGTAAAATGACAGGTGAAATTCAGCATAAATAAAGGTCAGTTTAAACCCAAACTCGGAGAGTCTGAATCTGAAGGAGAATCCTACCCTAGCTTTTCAGAAATTGAAGGTGCCAAACGTTAAAAGTCTAGAAGGCCTGCTCTTTAAATTAATCCATTGCTCTGCATTCATCTCACTACTTTGAACTTACACCTTGTTAGTGTAAGAGTAGTATAGAAAATGGCAGGATCTTGCAGATGTGATAGTACAGAAAAGCCAATGCTAAAAGGGCTTGTGGAAAAGGAAATGCGGAATGCCTGTTTTCCCCAAGGCCTTCCCTTCATAGTGCAAACACAGTAAAGTAAAGCTAGAGGCAAACCTGGGCCCACGACATCCATGCATTTGAAATGACCCAGCCTGAAATACTGTACTGGGGCTCTTCTCAGCTAACAGGCTCCTGGGAAAAGGAATACAAGAACACACGTATGAAAAAATTGAGAGCTCAGTTAAAGCACAGACGGGATGGGGAGAAATGGCTTAAATTATTTATTGTCAGCATTCCCGGTTCTGAAGGAGAAAGCACGCTCATTGTCTGGTAGCAAGAACTTTCAATGAAATGTAGTCAGTAAACTGCAAGATGACTCATAGCATAATTTCTTGGACGGCATCTATCTTCAAATGTTCTGCATGTTTAGGAGAAATGGTAATGAAGGAGTTTTAAAGGACAGCTTCTTAAGTGACACATGCCACATGAAGAAGAAAATGAGAAGATGACCAAATTGAAAAATACATGGAACAAATTGTAAGGCAGTATAGATGGACTACCAGCCCTGAGGACTGATTCTCCAGTTTTCTCACTGGAAGAGTCAGTAGGTTCCCAGATCAGTTCTGTACCTCCAACTTTGTTTGAAAGCATGGATTCAAAATCTTCAGGCATTTCCACATGGATCGCAGAGAGCACAGGGAGAACACAAAAGCAACTGAATTAAGCTGGCTGAAATCAAGTACATATGACTTGCTATAGGAAATCTGAGTCTAAGATTTCCAAAAGTATGAGTAATCAGGGATGACAAGCTTCATCATGAAGCCCACTGGGGTCATTCAAGTGGGAAAAGACTAAACGGGAGTTTGTATTTCAAACAATGCTCAAAATTACTCAGAATGAAGGAGAGTGGTGAGGATGTTCACCTAGCACAATGAATGGCTAAATAACCAGGAAAGCATGCCCAGTGCTCCAGAGGTAGTCACTGAACTCAGGGAAAAAAAAAAAAAAAACCCAACTCTAAATTTAAAGCCTCCTATCTTGAGCAAGTATAACAAATGCTAGAAATGTACAGCACGATTTGTATCTCCATCACCAATCTTCCCTATCCCAAATTAATCATCACAAATCCTGCAACCTTTCCAGGAGGATGAGAACATGGATAGAATCTCCCAAGGGATTCTTGCTACGTATTTTTAATAGAAATATGAAGAAATGAATAGTTTTTATTTACACAGATAACTCTAGCTTTCATGATCTTAGATGTATTATTGTCATACACGTGTGATTTTTAGCTAGTTAGCTCCAATGACAAACTATCTGCAGTGAAAAAACTAATTTTCAGTAAAATGCATATGACTAATATGCCAAATCAAGCAGAAGGTCGACTGCTCGTAATGGACTTAGAACAGACAATGACAAGCATTCAAAACACCATAATTACAATACTCTTTACCATTATCATCATTGTGTAAAAGTTGGCCATATGTTCATTATTTATTTCATCTGTGTACAATAAGGAATACATATTAATTTGTTTGTGGTAAGGGCACAAAGAGGCCATAAAGAGACAATATGTTTAGAGAACATGCAAACCTCAGTTTCAAACAACGCGCCGCTTCCCGGGAGTCACGCACACACATCAGAAATCTTCAGATATGCTCACGGCACCCCTGAGACACAAGGGAGCCTATTCAGATCTTCACAACAGCATTAAACCGTCGGCCCGCACAGGTATCCAGGCCCTTGACCACCGCTCCGACCACGTCCCTCCC